GTCTTTATTATTCTTTTACTTGATCTAATATTTCATTATTTGTCATATAACTTCAACAATTCATTCGGTAGTTGGTTTCATCAAGTGATATTCAAACAATACATAATTCTTGTATTTTCAACATTGCTAACAATGATCCGATCATATTAATATTTCTTCTAACAGGAGATATTTCGATTGTTTTACAACAAGTGGTATCAGAGTTTAGGTTCAACAGTTCTGCAAGAGTGCAGGGTTTGATTTGTTCGGGGTTTTTGTTCCTGATGACTTTCATGAAGTATGACATTCCTCTTTTGAATCAGAGCATTAGATTTTCGCTATGACAAGTTAAGATGCGTGCAGTACTCGCACAACTGGTTTTGAATGATGCGTTACTGGGAATTAACAAGATACCCGCAAATTTGACTGCGGAGGAGAAATTATAGAAGGATAAGAATGCGGTTTCTCACATTCATCTTCATCTATTGAATACCATTCTTCAGGACATTTTAAAGAAGGGTTCAGCAGCTACTTTATGGTTGAAGTTGGAGCAATTGTACATGGCTAAAAGTCTAACAGGCAAGTTATATCTCAAGCAGCTTGTATACTCTCATTGAATGACATAATGGGGATCATTGGAAGATCACCTGGTTGTATTTTAGGAGATTGTCACTGATTTGGAAACTTTGGAAGTAAAGTATGTTGAAGAAGATTTAGGTTTGATCCTATTGTATTCGTTGTCCTTTTTGTTTTCTTCATTTAGAGATATAATCTTGTACATTCGTGATACTCTCACCATAGAGAAGGTGTATAATGCTTTGTATTCAAAAGAGAAGATGAAGCATCTGATTTCTGAGGCTAGAGATGGAGAAGGCCTGGTTGTTCATGGTGGTTCTGGAAGGGGCATATCGAAGTATAAGTTCAGTAATCAGATTTATAACTACTGTAAGAAGAAGTGGCACTTGAAGAAGGATTGCTACAAATTGCAGAATTAGAAAGGTTGACTGCAAGTCAATGTGGGAAGCAATCAGAGACTTCATGTGAAGCAGACCTCGCTGATAACATTGTAAGTGAGGGAGATCTCTTGGCCATTTCTAACATCGAGTCTAAACCAGAGGATGATTGGATTCTAGATTCAGCATGTGTGTTTTATATGTGTCGTAATAAGGACTTGTTTACTACATATCAAACCGTTTCTAAATGTGTCGTGGTTATGAGAGACAACACACCTTGTCGAGTCGCTGAAATTGGTACGATCGGATTGAAGCTATTGGATGCGACAATTAGAATACTTGTTCAAGTTCAACATTTTCCAGATTTGAAGAAGAATCTCATCTCGTTATCTGTTATTGATTCAAAGGGTTATAAGTTCTTTGGTGGAGGTGGAACTTTGAAGGCTTGTAAGGGTGCCCAAGTTGTATTGTAGAGAAAGAAAATGTCTCAATTATACATCTTGTAGGGTCGTGCAGAATCTAGAAGAGTAAATCAACACAGGTTCAGTACCGTGATGAACATTCAGTTGGGTACAATACCTGTAGGAGCTCGTAAATGATCGAATTTGAAGAATATTGCTTAGTGGAGTTCAGGAGTTATGGATAATACCGCTTTGCCACAATCACATGCGGTGCCATTATATTTGTTGCTATGGACGAATCCAGTGGAAAAGGGTATGTGAATTCTGATTTTGTTGAGCATACTTTAAGTGGAGTAAAATGTGTTCAATCTAGCAAATGGTCTTTAATAAAAGCATTCGATAATGGTTCTGCCTTGGGGTGTGTTACAACTTATTTTGGTAAATTATAAAATCATTATGATTTTTGAGAATCTGAGATAATTCTACAAAAGTAATGCTCTGATTCATTGGAAGATGTGGAATATTGTGTTTTGTTGGAGAAATTAATTTTTTGGTTATTGTTGAAGAAGTCAGTTCATTCCTTGGTGGAATTCACGTTAATGTGGAGATTGTTAGAATTTGGTGTGACCCGAATTTCTTATTTGAAGTATTAAAGAATTCTAATTGAAGTGCACGTCAATGAGAATTTAAGTTTGGAATGCTATTGGAATCCTATGTCAAGTTGAAGTTTTATTTTGGAAGCTCATTGAGAGTTGTAATTTGTTTTAAACTCGATTTTTTGGTATCCTACTTCATCAACAACTTTAATAGGAGGGTTTGGACATCCCCTACATGTTCCCTATAAATATTAGGTTCTTCTATACAATTATATATTGTAAGAAAATAGATTACTAGAATTATATTATCCATTGTAATTTTCTCTCTTTTTCATTTTTATTGAGTTAATAAAATCTCTTAATTTCTCTGTCATATTTCTTGCATTTATTATTCTTTTACTTGATCTAATACTTCATTATTTGCCATATAATTTCAACAATTTATTCAAGTAGTTGGTTTAATCAAGTGGTATTCAAACAATACATAATTCTTGTATTTCCAACATTGCTATCACTGATCCGACATATTAATATTTCTTCTAATAAGAGATATTTTGGTTGTTTCACAACAATTACAAACACCTTATCGTAAACCAATATTTTAATGTATGTATTTTTATCCTTATTCCAACTACGACTGAAAATAATATTCCTTCATTTCATAAATATATAACCAGACTTTGTCTTCCAAAATTAATGCTTGTGTATTTGAATTAAAAAAAAAAAAAGAATAACAGTATATTTTTATTTGTTAGATATTTATTCAAACCTTACAAGCACAAAAAATTCACATACGGTGTTGCCTAGGGGTGGGCAATAGGTCGGGTCGGGTTTGGCCCAAAACCGACCGAACAATATACCCGATGTTTGGCTCTTTCACAAACCGACCCAACCCGGCTCCTACCTTAAACTGATCGGGTCGGGTCGGGTCGGGTCCAGCTGGGTACAAAATGAATGATTAAATTGATGATTGAAAAGTAAAATTTTAGGAGGATGAAACGAAATGTACAGCTAGTTGTGCTGGCTGTTTGGATTTGACATGGCAAAAAAGTCCTATTGGAAATTTATAGGGATAATATGGTAAATATAAAATGGAGACAAAATGAAAAGAACATAGTTTCACGGCTTTGTATGTTAGGTAGTGCTATTCTGACAATATTCCTTGTGTATATCTTTTTCCAATGCAACGCTCTCTAAATTTTACATTTTTAGGGCACTGTGATCTAAATCTCAGTAAAAAGCAGAATTACTTCCATTGCCAAAGAAAGTAGGTCTGAAATTGAAAGGAGACTCCTTTACATTAATTAATCCTCGATTGCACGATAAAGAAGGAGTAGCCGTATGAGGAGCCATGCTTATCCCTGTAATCGGTGCTCTCGTCGCCATTTTTATCTTCTTTGTTTATACGAGGCTCCGCTGCGTCTATGGAGCAAGCTTTTTCCCATTCACTTCCTGCAACAAATTGAAAAACCCTCCTCTATTAACACTTCAAAAAAAAAAAAAAATCACTGCCTCCAACAAAAGAGTTCATTTCATCGGGTTTCACTGGGTGAGATAGTGAATAATAGGGTTTTAGTGGGTTGGGTTGGTTTGTGAGGCTGAACCAACCCGGCCCACAATTATTTTACATTTATCTTACCTGATCCAACCCGACCCGATTTATCCCTAAACCAACCCGACGGGTTGATTTTTTGGGTTGTGGTTTTCAAGCCCCAGTCCTAGTGCTGCCTTCTTCATTTTTATAATTTCCTACACGCCTACCAAATATATTTAACAAAGTCTGGTGGGGATTAAAATAAAAAATTTAGCATATTTTTATAAAAATTAATGAAATGTGTAGTTAAAAAATTGTAGATCCTATTAAACATGTGGTTATAATTAATTGTTGAGTTTGACTTTGATAAAAATCTGGAATATAATTTCTATGAAACAGGGGTTAAATACTAAATATAATGAAAATTAAGCCCATGTTTATCACTCCTTCTTTTAGAACTCTTTTTTCTGCATAGTCATTTTCAACCGCACATTCACACAATAATATATTTTACACATAAACACAGAACTTTTCTTGCTTTTTAACAACACAGTTTCCAAAAATTCACTATTCAAAACAATGTTTTTCCAAAAAAATGACTACAAAACAACGGTTAAATATGATACAAAAACACGTATCGTCATATGAATATACTGTTCTATCATATGTATATGTATGACGTTCTATCAGAATTTTACTCATAGTATTAAATAGATATAAATAATATAATAGACAAAATTTAACATCTTCCCTTATCTAATCATGTCGAAAATGTTATTATTAATGTTCATTATTTGCGTGAACCAAGCCCAAACTAAGCAATAAACAAGGAGTTATTCAAATAACTCAACTTGGATTTTTGAACATCTTGCGCTTGTTTGGAAAAATTTAAAAAGTTGTTAATTAATTTTACGCACATATTTCATAAGATTCATAACTTTTATCAAAATATGCCAATTTTTTTTTATCAAAAACTATGTCAAACAACCTCTTCTAAAGTACTTTAGCTTCCGAAATGAATTGCATCACATCAATGTGTACTTCAGGAGGCTAAAAGTTAAGAAGATTGTGTTTAAGCATCATAAGCAGATTATTCTAAAAAATAAGCAGATTAGGTTTAAAGCGTCAACCTGATGAAAGGTGGATGATGGTCAGAAGGGCTTTGAGTAGAAAGAAAGCAAAAGAAAAGGCCGAAAAACTCAAACTTTTGGGTATTTCCTGCTATCAAGCAAGCATATATGCCAACTTCTACGTACCCAAAAACAACACATCAACTGTTTATACCCTCACCCTAAAATATGCATTTATTCATACTTTTTTCACTCTTTTACATTTCTTCATGCACACATTATCCAAGCAATCTGCGTCAGTACAAAGTGACTGTTGCCTGCTTCCAAAGAATCATCTTTATGCCCAATTCCTCCTTTGTTTTGATCATTCTATATAAACCCCTTTGTTATGCCCTTGATTCTGAGTGTTGTATCTGTCGAGTGGGAGCAAACTAGCTTTAGTTTGAGGTCTTCGTAGAAACTAAGACATGGAGAAAAACCGAGCTCGTCTCACGCTCTCCATTTTATGCCTCTATGTTTGTTTTGCAGCCATCTCTCTTGTACATTGTGGTGAGTTGTCTGTTTCTTTGTTTCGTTTCTTTTATAGTATTGTCTAATACTATGTGTCAAACGTAGTTAGAGCTTTACTTGATTTTTTGTTTTTGATACTGATCAGATGCGAGAAAATCAGTTCACTTATTCACACCTCAACAATATTCAAGAAGTTCGAGCATCAAATTTACTAGAAAAATGCACGATTTGAAACGGTTTAACACTGAAAAAGGACACTCGTTTTTTGAACCCATTTTAAAGCAACTTGTTATGCCATTGGATGCATCAAATAGTGATCCTTATATTAGTTCACCATCCTCTATGCCACCATATGACTCCCTTGCTCCCATACCCTTGCCTGATAATAGCCCTCCATATTGTTTATATCCCCCATTCACCCCACAGGCCCCTTCAACCATCCCAAGCCCAACAGGTGGCTACACCCCATTACCCCCTCCAGCCTCTTCTGGGCCCACATTGCCCGGCCCAAGCCCACCTGAAGGGTCTCTACCAAACCCACCAACTACTGTTCCTAACCCACCTAGTGTTGTCCCAAATCCACCTAATTATGTACCAAGCCCACCATATAATGTTCAGACACCAACTCAACCCGGGCTTAGCCCACCTTCCTTTACACTCAGCCCACCTGTCAACGTCCCATCACCTTCTGGCGGATACGTTCCGAGCCCACACATTTTCCTGCCCCCCATTGTTTATCCACCGCCCACGGTGCCACCGCCACCTCACACTGCCTCTGGCACGAGCCTTTGGTGTGTGGCAAAACCATCAGTGCCCGACCCGATCATCCAAGAAGCAATGAACTACGCCTGCGGATCTGGAGCGGATTGCGATCAAATTCAGCCTAGTGGATCGTGTTTTCAGCCCAACACTCTATTTGCACATGCATCGTACGCATTCAACAGCTATTGGCAGAGAACTAAGGTGGCTGGAGGCACGTGTGAATTTGGAGGAACGGCCATGCTCGTTACCGTGGATCCAAGTAACTTCTGTTTGACTTATGCTTAAAAGTAGCTTAAATTTTAATTTATATTAATTAATTTGTTTATTTATTCGGTTAATTTCAGGTTACGATGGGTGCCACTTCATCTACTTTTGACTTTTTTTGAAGATAAATATCTTCTTTTGTAGATTCATTGAAGAATGACGCAAGTAAAACTAGAGGGCAGAGGACAAATATTCCCATGAATAGCATTCTTCATTTTGACAACGATTTTGTAAGATATTATACAGAGGGAATAACGCCTTTTCTGGGTTTTGGAATGTTTAATAATAAATCGTGTCGTGGAAGAATTAATCATGGGGTATAGCACTGTTTAATTTTATGAAATAATCAATATTACTGATAATTGTATAGTTCAAGAAATTTAAATACAACGGACATATTATTCCTTGAGCGTGTTTTGGGACACGGTGCTGTCTTTATAGTATAATTTTTTATATAGATTTTTTTCAATGGTTTAATTATGTCATATTAAAACATAGAGTTGGATTCCAAGAAGAAAAAACTCTTCATTCCTAATTCTCGTGAAAATAGTAGAAACTTTTCGTTTTACACGCAGAAGCTAACTACAGAAAGAGAGGGAAATTCCCCCACTGATCCTCCATCGTACAGTTAATAAATAATTACAGAGAAAAATATATTTGAACAAGGAAATTTAAGATTATCTTATTTGACATCTTGTTTTTCGGTCGTATAGTGTGATGATAACTCTTGAGACTTGAATGGAGTATAATGTCATAGTGATAGATTTTGATTTGAACACAGATTTTATCATGTCCAATTTGAACTATACTGATGGAGTGAAATAATTCTATTTGAAGTCAAGTGTACAAGTCCTTGTTTGGGCTAAAGGATATATTTGGAAGACTCACAATGGTAATTTCAACCCACTCACTGTACTGATCTTTAGGGTATATTTTATACAATGCTTATAAATCTATCTTAGGAAATATATGGATCAGTTACAGAATATTTACATAAAAATATAGCAGATTCTTGGCTTGATTTACTGCTGCAGATCACTCCAGATTTCCAGATTTCAAGCTCAATTTGAATCTCATTCTTGATTTGTGTTACCTTCCTTAATACGCCCCCGCAAAATTGAGCTTCCATCGGCAAGACCAATTTTGGCTCTTAAGGATTCAGTGCGTTCCCGGGACAATGGCTTGGTTAGTAAATCAGCCAGTTGATCTTGAGTGTGTACATGACTCACTTTAAGTGTACCTTTCTGAACTTGATCACGCACAAAGTGAAGATCTATTTGTATGTGCTTCATCCTTGAATGTTGAACCGGATTAAAGCTGAGATGTGTTGCACCAAGATTACCACATAAAAGAGAAGGTGACACTTGTAATGGAAATCCAAGTTCTTGAAGAAGTGCAACCAACCACATTGTTTCTGATGCTGCATTTGCAAGGGCTCAGTATTCGGCTTCCATAGTAGAACGAGCAACGGATTTTTGGTTTTTTGAACTCCATGAGATTGGATTGCATCCTAGGAATGTGATATAAGCTGATGTAGAGGTTTTATCATCAATATTTCCTGCCCAATCAGCGTCACTGTAGGTTGCTAAACATGGTGCTGCAGCTTTCTTAATGTGAATTCCGTGAAATATCGTTTTCTTGAGGTACCTAAGAAGCCTCTTTGTGGCTGTCCAATGGGTGACCGTTGGCCTATGCATGAATTGAGATAGCTTGTTTACTGCAAAGGAAATGTCTGGGCGGGTTAAGGAGAGATATTGGAGGCTGCCAATGATTCGCCTATACTCTGTACTGTCCACCGCAGCTGTTCCATCCACCAAGTGAAGTGATTGACTTGTTGACAACGGTGTAGAGACATCCTTCGCATCAGCCATGTTTGTATTCTCCAAGATGTCATGAATATATTTATGTTGTGAAAGAAATAATCCTGCATTAGTCAGTATGACTTCCACTCCTAGGAAGTAGTGAAGAGAGCCCATATCTTTCAATGAGAACTGATCTCCAAGTTTGTTGACAACATGTGTTATAAATGATTTTTCATTTCCTGTAATAACTAAATCATCGACATAAACAAGGAAATAGCATATAATGGACTGATGACGATAAACAAAAAGGGAAGAATCAGCTTTGGAAATGTGGAACCCCGAGCTTTATTAGAGCATTTCTTAAGGCTGAATACCACGCCCTCGGGGCTTGTTTGAGACCATAGATTGTTTTTCTTAACCTGCAGACGTGATCAGGTCTAGACACATCTTTGAAACCCGGAAGTTGCATCATGCAAACATTTTCAGTTAAGGTTCCATGTAAAAAAGCATTGTTTACATCCATTTGTCTCAAAGGCCACCCATTCATGATTGCAATGCTCAGTTTTGTCCGTATTGTTGCTGGTTTAACAACTGGCCTAAAGGTTTCTTTATAATCAATTCATGGACGCTGATTATAGCCCTTTGCAACGAGCCTGGCTTTGAATTTTTCAACTGAGCCATCAGCTTTCCTTTTAACTCTAAACACCCACTTACAACCCACTGGATTTGTGTTTTCGGGTAGAGGAACTAAATCCCAGGTACCATGTCGCATTAGGGCTGTTAATTCACTAGACATGTCCTCACGCCATTTAGGGTGAGATACAGCTTGACTCACACAAGTTGGTTCAAGAAATAATGTGAAGGGATGCTTAGAGACACTGTGCAGTTGCTTGGGTTTGAAAATATTGTTCATTGATCGAGTAGTCATGGAATGGGTTGGAGTTGAAGTATTTTCATTTTGAGCAGGACATTGTGCACTAGAAACATGAGTAGAGGCAGGTTGATATGTGAACGAATGATGCGGTGCAACTATATTTGAAACAGAGTTCAAGTTTGAATTTAAATTGCCAACACCTAAGGCTTCAAGTGATTCACAAATAGAAGAGGGAGAGGGAGAGGGAGAGGGAGATGAGGGAATTCCTGGAGGTGGCGTAAAGATGACAGCAACATTTTCCAAGCTCGTTTGTGGCTGCGATGGTCGATCTGAGATGCTTGATCGCACGGGGGCTGAGGGAACAGAGAGGAAAATGCTAGGGCGTGAATTTTGGTTAAGAAAGAGATGAGTATTTTCAGGTGGACTTTCTCTGGATATTTGGCCATGATTTGTGGTTGTGGAAAATGGGCTTTGCGTTTCATCAAATGTCACGTGCCTGGATACATAGATCCGATCTGTTGATGGATCCATGCATTTATAGGCATTCTGTGTTTGTGAATATCCGAGGAAGACACAGGGAATTGATTTTGGTTGTAATTTGTAGGTATTGTATGGCCTTGTGAGCGGATAGCATAGGCATCTAAGTTTTCTCAACTTGAGATAATTTGGTTGTTGTCCAAAAAGAACCTCAAATGGAGACCTATTTTGGAGAAGAGGAGTTGGTTGTCGGTTTATGAGATAAGTGGTAGTTTGGAATGCATGAGGCCAATAGGAGAGTGGTAAGGAAGCATCATGAAGCAAGGTTAGACCTGTCTCTACAAGATAACGATGACGCCTTTCGGAAACACCATTTTGTTGTGGGATATACGGGGCAGTGGTGTAGTGGCTTATACCATGATCGGACAAATATTTTTTTAAACTTGGAAATTCTCCACCATTGTCCGAGTACAAACTCTTTATTTTTGACTTAAACCGTGTTTCAACAAGCATTTTAAATTGTGGAAAAATGCTAGAAACAAGATGATATAGGATAACATCAATAATTATCTGTGTATGTGGGTGACAATCTTGCAAACTGCGTACACGGGTGATTGTAACCGCGTAGGTGAGGACAACTTGATACGATGAGATCAATAATTATCTATGATCGACATTGAAGTAAGGGTCACTTGATATGTACCCCTGTAAAGTATCACGTCAGAGGCCATCGACCACCATGGGGAGCTTTACATTCTCATGATAGACCGCCGCCACCATGGGATGCTCTACATTCTAATGATAGAGCGCCTACCACCATGGGGGGTTCTACGTTGTCATGATAGACCGCCACCCACCATGGAGGTGCTCTACGCTCTCATGACAGACCGCCTACCACCATGGGGTGCTCTACGTTCTAATGATAGACCGCCTACCACCATGGGGTGCTCTACGTTCTCATGATAGATCGCCTACCACCATGGAGGTGCTCTGCGCTCTCATGACAGACCGCCTATCACCTATGAGGCC